ACGAGGCCTGCTCACGCCAAAAAAATATTTGTTTGATTCAAGAATTTTTGTTTGGGAAATTTATTCTTAAAGACATATGCGGAGTGCAGCTCTACAAACCAATGCTCGATTCCATGTTTGATGTTTTGCACATCCTGCAAAAAGACAAACATTGCAGAGCGATAGTTCCTTCTTGCCCTTGCCCTTGTGTAAAAAGGTGCGGCTTGGTCGCACCGCCATGAAAACAAACAGAAAGACCGTCCTGTGTGTTTGGCCTTGATTTTGAGCCCGATTGATTTCACTTGCCAGTGAAGCTTGCATCATTGTAAAATCTAGGCTCAATCTTTCTTCGAGAAAGTCGGAAGGCTTTCTTTCGCCCACCCGCCCCCTGGGGGAGGAATGCCGGGCATTCCAACACGTTCTTATCTCTTTGCGGCATGTGGTGCCCTCTTTACCGAACATGTGCCGGGCACATGTTCGTGTCAAACTGGTGATGGGGACGACGTTTATGCCGCCTATGTGTCAAAAAGAAGGCAGTCCGAGTGTATGCATTTTCCATGCGCCAATTGATTCTGAAGGCAAACATATTCGTTGGATTCAAGAATCTTTCCTTGGGAAATCTATTCTTAAATGCATATGCGGAGTGCAGCTCAAATCTATTCGTAAATGCATATGCGGAGTGCAGCTCTACGAGCTAGTATAATGGTCGAATTTTTAATACACATTCTGCAAAAAGAGCGAAGGCAGCAAACTCAGGCGAGCAGCCCTGACCAGGCCAATATGGCAGCGCCATCAGCCGGTGCTTGTGGAGAGAACCAGGTGTTGGTTGATGCGTTTGAACTTCCGACAAACTGCCCGCCCCTGCTGCAGTCGAACTTCTCCGCTGCGTCCACGATGTCCATGGTAAGCTTATGCTAGTTCTGTTAAAGTAGTGCCAGACCTGTGGTATCGAGCGATGTTCGGCGCAATTTAATTTGAGCGGGCGTGCAGAGCTTCAGGAAACATTCAACTCGCGGGCTTTGCCCGAAGGTTGTTTGCCGCCGTACCAAGTCAACAGCGTGGGAACTTGATAACAAACGGTGGTATGGAGCCGGAGGCAAAAACATCACACCTTCCGCTCGGAGCACCAGTTCTTACATAGGCGCTGTTTGTCGCGCGAGTCGTAAATGTCTCTTTTAAACTTCGTCTTTAAGGAGTTGGGAATTAGACATAGCAGCAACACATCGGAGAAAAACAGTTTAGTATGGGTAGCTGAACGGGTTGTGTAAACCTCGCTACAGTCGCAAGCAGGACTAGGACTAGGACTAGGACTAGGATCGTTTTACATGGCCGCGCTGCTTCGTGTGGTCGTACTGCTGCTGCTACTACCGTCGTCGGCAGCTTCTGGTGGGAGGTACGAGGTTCAATATTCGTTTTGACGGTTGCCGTCATGGGGTTTGGGTGTTCGTAGGACTCGATTTCTCAGGTGGATATGTGACACGGGAAAGACCGTTCAGTGAACGAAACATCCGGGTTTGGGGTTGTTGAGTCCAAGTCGAGTGCCTCATGTCGGGCACTCTTTAAACTGACTGGCTTGATCTTGGCTTCATAACTCCAGCTTGGATCATGGAAGCGTCGGAAAGTCAGTTTTCTACTCACATCTTGCGTTCAAATGCCGTCGCGAGAGCACAGGCAGCTAATCACTGTGAGCTGCCCGCCCCTTCGGGGCTCCCTTCATGCGGAATGGGGCTGCCCGTTATTCGGCTCCAATTCAGTGTGGCTGTTCTTTCGGTCTTCGTGTTCGCAATGTGGTGGATTGAGATTGTGGCCATAGCGGATGGGATGCGCCAAGAGCTTTTACCTCATGCATCCCATGAGATTTTGACATTGCGGTAAGTGCGTGTGTGTGTGTGTGTGTGTGTGTGTTTGGGTGCGTGTTTGTTTCCAGCTGTAGCATCCTGTGGCTGGATGTCATGCTTCTTGTGTTGTCAGCTTCATCGGGTAGCTACAGTCCAAGGGAGCATCTTTGAGCTGAGGGAAGGCCAGCTGGGGCCGGAGCTCCTCGTCGACCCGGGCTTTCTCGGGGCAAGCGGGGCCTGGACGACTTACCTGAAGGAGCCAGGCACGGGGCTCGCCGAAAGCCTCCAAGCCCCGTGCAAAAGACGCTTCCCAGACGGAGCTAGCTTCAGCTTCACCGGAAACGGCGTGGCCGTTGATGCAGCGGCGGATGATGATGCAACTTGTACAGTGATTGTACAGCCATCAGTGCATGTTCAGCCTTTGACAGTCCGAGGCACGTCATCCAGGTTAGAGTGTGAAGCGGCTGTGGCCGGAAGGTCGTCGAGGGGAGCTCTCTGGAATCACTGGCTAGACCTGTTCGTTCCTTGCGTCTACCTGAGGAAACACCATGGCACGTGCAGCTGACGCAGCCAGTCTCTTTGGACCAAGGCTGTTGGGCAACAGCACAGGATTAGAAGCTCGGGTTGCTTCAGCAAGCCTGCCCGCACAGGCTTTTCAGTTTCAGAGGCTGGCTTGAGTGCAAGCCGACTGGGAAAGGTGCTTTTTGTTGGGGCCTCGTTTCGTGCGAGCGGAGCAAGGGTCGCCCTAGGTGGGGCTGGTGGCATTCCCACGACACTGGTGGTTTGCGACAATTCGCGACTCTGGGTATTTGTAGTGTGTGTTTCTATGGATAACATGTGCGTTCGCATCAGTTTCATGTGTGGCTGCACGCCGCCAATATTATTGCAACACCGATTACCCGGATCAGAACGGCCTCACCTGTTTCATGGCTACAGCCAGGTGGCACTACGGAATCCTTTTACAGCCTCTGCATCCAGGCATCTTCGATGCAGGTGCCAAACGGGAGATGTGACAGTTGAGGTCGTGAATCTGTGAGTTGCGAGGACCTCGCACACTTCTTATTTTTTCACTTATGCTCAGCGCATGGATTGTATGACCTGCCTGGGCAGCCATACTGTCGGAATCCTTCGACTTACGGCACCCGGCACGAGGGGACGGGGTGGGGGCGGGTGGGGCTCGGGGGTTCTGTATGGTATGGACATGACATTCATCCCTGAGGCTGTGCCCGGATTGCTTGTACTTGAATCCCTGCGGCTCTCAGGCCGGTAAAATACAGTTCGCCGTGGATGCTGACGGCGCGCTGAACTTTGCCGTGGCCGGTGGCGGGGTGCGTGCCCAGTCGCTTGGAAGCAGTGGTGTGGGGTGTAGGCGGTGTAGGGCCTGCAGAGCCTTTTGGGAGTTGTACGCTTCAAGACCAAGGATGAGCTTAGCAGGCGATGGCCGCCTCAGGGATCATTGCTTCAGCTTCCGCGCCTTGGCAGCACTTCAGGTAAGAGATGGTACCAGAATCTCCGGCACCGTTCTTTTCAGACAGACAAAAAGTTGTCGTAAAGCTACGGTGGAAATCCAGGAATGATGCCCTTCTTGCGGAACCTTAGTAGTGGGAGCATGTTCAGAACTACAGCTGTGCTGCCACGAAGGACGTGCCAGGCAGGATGCCAATAGAAGTTAATCTACTATTGGTTGAAGTTGTATCGATCCAGAAGGCATTAGTCTGTGAGGGCTATCATGAAGGGGCGGTGTCTGGACAAAGAACAATCGTGGCATGATAATTGGCAATGGGAGGGCTGTCCTGGAGCTCTAGAAGGTTTGCAGACGGCACCCGAATGTTCACACTGTTCCTGCGGCTCGTTGCGTTGGCTTAGCCCAAGCCTCCCTTCGAGTCGGTTTGCCATTTGCTCAAAGCGGCTCTCAAGCCTCCAACTCGTCTGTTCAGCATGCTCATGGAAGACGCATGTTTCTTCGGATTAGAGTTAGAGAATGTGTTGTTTGTTTTGGAGCGCCACCAAATGCCGAGGCTTGGGGCCGTCGGAGTTTGTGTACCAAGGTGCCAGAGACTTCTGGACCCGGGGGTTGCATTCCAGGGCTTGGATTTCTGTCGGCCTTTCGCGAACGAACAGCAGGACATTCCGGACACACATTGTCGTCGCATGTCGGTGCATCAATATAGAGCCTCGGACCGTCGTTTGCCTCACCAGTTGGTCGAGCCTCAGGTTTAGGCCGTTTAGGCATTTCATTTCTAGGTAACCATCCTGTTTTGTCCTCATTTCTACGCTACGGAGCAGCAACAGTCGGCGCCGACGCGTCTTCCTTCGGAAGTGCCCACTTTGTGCATGGCTTCTCCAATCTGCAGATGCAGGCTGAGGGTGTTCTGCTGCAGCCACAGCAGCGAAATGCGGGCCATGCCTTCCTTGGATGTAGTCCTCGTTTTTTCCGCGTTCGCTGTCTGGGCTTTTGTTGTTTTGCTTAGGCGGCATAGCAGCCTCTTGTGTGTTGGGTACCTTGAGAATCAATCGACGGCTTCGCGTCCATGTTGCGGCGTCACAGCGAGTGCTTTGTGAGATGTTGAGATGGCGGCTGCGTCGAAACAACACGAACAGTAAGTGCAGCAGCTGAAAGAATCAGGCACCGAAGGATCTAGCCTGTAGGTGCCCTTGAGTGCTCATGTCGTCGCTTAGAAGTATTTGTATCAACACGTGTGTTCCATGATACAGCTAACTGTGCGACTCAGTGCGGAAAGTTCAGGCTCCATTATCGTTTGCACTTCATTCTGATCAAGCGAGAACGGTACCGTGCCACAGCCATGATTTAACGGCAATTCTGCATGTGGGGATATTTTCTTCGGCTTGCCATTCTGCTGCTGTTGTTGTTGTTGTTGATGATGTTGAGTTCAAACCCACCCTGAGTCAAAGTTTCATCCACATCATGGTTAAGTTCACGAGATTAATCTCCAAGGGCAGATTAGTTTTCGAGTTTAGAGACATGGCAACTTGTCTTAAGTTGCGAAAGCATGCGAAGTGCCTGAACCGCAACTGTTCCGGGACAAGGGTTATCGGCATTGCTGTCAGGGGTAGCAGAGATCTGGACGAAGGTTTCGGTGGGTGGTCTTGAAAAACAGTACATCACATGAAGTGGGGCTTCAATTACATGTTGGCTGGAGTGTGCTGGATGGTTGGCATGCAGCTGTGTTGTATCCAGCCTAAGTAGAGCAGTCCCGGCATACCGGTCCAAATGAACCAGGACGAGTAGCGAACAACATGTGCCTCGATGCAATGATTACTCGTCAGCCAATGCAGTCATATCTTGCACTGGCTCAGCACTGAGCTTTGTAACGTTGACAGCCTTGCCCCGTAGCAGCTGTAGCATTCCTTGTGTGCTCAGGGCTGTCCGAGGTCTGTGGATGTTTCTGGTAGACTGGCAGGGTCGGAAGCCAGGGCCACAGGCCATGAACTCAATCCCTTTTTGCAGAGTCTCCAGGAAGTCGGAAGGCCGATCAGTGGCAGAATTTGCAAAGCGTGGTGCTGTCTCTGTGCAGGGCGAGTTGCCTTGGACTTGGGTGCCGTGAAGGATGTCGAGGTGCATGTCTTGGCTGCATGGGGTCGGCTTGCATTGTCTTGTAATAATTGACATGGCCAGATTTCGCTTGCTTTGTTAAACGATTTACGCACCGCTTTACGACCGTGCTAGGCCGTGAAGCGTCTGGCTGGCAGTTGTTCTTTTCAAGAAATTTTCTGGAGCAAGGATTGTTAAAACAACCGGTGTGGGTTTGCGCCCTTGAAGCCTTATAGTGTAATTAGGCGCCTGCAAAAAAGAAAGGATTTCAACATCCAGAATGTAAAATACGATGTCGAAAAGTACGATGCAGAGTCTCCTGCAGCCAGTTTGAGGAAAACCCGTAACTGTCAAGCGGCGCATCTTCAAATTCGCAGGTCTTTCTTTGTTTCCCCGAGCATCTAATTCGAAGGTGTGCCATGCCTCACTGAAGCGCTGTACGTCGCGCCCCAGCGTGATGGCCTTAGTTGGACACAGTAAGTGTTTCGGAACTAAGGATTTGGAGTTAGGTGATGAGGACGGAGCGGTTTGCAGTGAAGATTGCTGCGCTTTTCAAGCCGCAGGTTATTATTGCGGCAGCGACTGAAACGTGCATCCACAACAGCTGCTTCCCTTTTAGTCACCAGGTGGCTGCCATTATGCCAGTGCGGCGGTGTTATCTCGCACCGCCACTCGGACAAGAGCCTGAAGGCTTAAGGGCAGGCGAAGGCCCCAACTAGCCCGAAATCTGTCGCAGCCCAGGCTCTCGGAGGGGCTGGGCTGCACATTGCTGGACCGCCAGAGCGGCGCAAATTTCCAGAGGAATCGGCCTCTCGGTAGAACTTGGTAGTGACCGCAGGGGCAGGAGTACGAACACAACACCCACATGCCGTTACACTTAGCAAGAAGAATTTTCGTGCAATGCACGGGGTCCTAGCGGATGAGCTTGAAAGTGTTCCGTGCAAGAGCTACACTGGACAATTTCGGGCTTCTGCATCGAGTGGTTATCGTATTTGCAGACATATATCAGGATCAAAGTCCTCACTAGTCCTCGGCATGCTGCTGGAGGGTTGACTTTTCTTTTGTTGTTTGTGGGCCCTTTCTTTCTTTTGATGGGGGGGTGGTCGGTGTCGTAGGGTTTTCTAAGACAAAATACACGTGTTCACTGTATTTTACGGGATTCCGTGCAGGGGGTAGGAGATTCAGCACAGGGTAAGCTTTTACAGAAGTCCCTACGGAAGCCGCTCTTCGCGAAACCCTTCCGATCACCCTTCCAAGGAGACGCTTCAGTGTATACGTCCTACGTGTACCATGCAGGGATTTTTAATGCACATATGGTATGTGTAGTGTGGTCTGCCGTTTGTGACCAGTATGTTTAGCAGGTAGAGAACAATTGTGTGTATATATATATATATATAAATTAGTTTTTGTTACATTACATTTACTACACGCGCCTGCCGCAATATATACTTTAAGGCGAAAGCAGTACAAATATGCTTTCTCTCTTTCTCTCTCTCTATTCTATTATATATATATATATACGATACAGGTATATACTATATGTATATATATACACACACACACACTACTTGTACGTTATTTCGATATATCCAAGCACTTATCATCTAACTGTATATATATATATATACACATACACACATAGAGACGACCTATGGAAACAATGTATACTATGATACCCTATATATCTATATATCTTATGTATATGTATGTATATATGTAGAGTTGTTTGTTTATAGCAAAAGTTTACAGAGCGTATAAAAATGTACACAAAAATAAATAAATATAAGTATGTGTATGTATATATATACACACAATCTTTGCTCTTGTGTATGCACATATATTACATGTACTAACGCCATATATACTGATGTACTAAAATTCGAAGATATATGTGTATATATATATATATGTATACACATAGTTGGCAAAAACACTAATAGGTACTACTCAGAATATACTACATACTTCGTACGACCTACTGTATATAGTATACCATATACTTTGTTACTAACGACTATACAGACTGTGTTTTTTTTTTTGCCTGCACCCTGTCGCTCCAAGTCCACGCCCGGGATCTGCGGCACTATTTTGTACCTTTATATATGGTATACAGTCACACATAAAGATTACATCGAGAGCGTAGTGTTTGTACTATACCTATGTGTGAAAACCCATAGTTACGTCTGTGCACATAACTCGATCTATGCGTACATGTATATATTCAGCAAGTATATAAGTTGATGAGCATCATATGAGATAGAGAGAGAGTACACATATATATATATATATAGGTTGTAAGCAAATAGTCTAACAGTTACATAAAGTATAATATACATGCAGTGTGTATATATATATATACATACATACCTGTGTGTGTACGTATATGAGTACAGTCGTAAAAAAAATAAATACGATGCTATTCTACAAAGTAGCAAAAATCTGATTAGTATATGTATGTGTGTATGTGTGTGTATATATATATACATATATATATATATATATATATATGTGTGTGTGTGTGTGTGTCTGTGTATTCCTTCCGTCCTCCTTCCTTCCCGCCGTTCGAACCTTTCCTCCTTCCTCCGTTCCTTCCTTCCTTGCTTGCTTCCCCCCCCTCCCTGACCAAAAAAAAGAAGGCCCAAACAAGACAAAGAGAAAGGGCCCCCCAAAAAGGTTTCCACAGTGCTGCGGAAATCAGATCTTGAACCCTGGAAGCTTGCTTGGTTTGGAATTTCTCTGAAACTTGTTGAGGCATGGTCAGGCTGCTCGTCCCGCAAGACTTTGCTTGGTGGTTCGGGTGAAGAGCAGGACAGATGCCGGGAATGGCAGGTGAAGTTTATGTATGGATCTAGGCATCAAGAGATCAGACTTAGTGCCTCGAGCTTTTGGAGAGGTGCCTGCATTCTCGGACCTGCACATGTTGCTAACCTTTCTTCTTCCTGCCAGCCCAAACTTCATCAAAAAAGGCAAGCTCGCGAAGACCCGAAGCCGATAGTTGACCGTGCTCGCAGGAGCGTGATAGCCCGGATCTGGGACTTTGGAGTTTGGTCCTTTCGTCGAGCTAAGGAAACGACTGCGAAGCGGGCGTGCCTACAGGAGATGCGGGCCCTCGCAGGACCTGTTGCGTTAGAAGTGTGTGGTTCTTCCCAGATCGCATGTGGCCGTCCTTTCCTCCTCCGCCGCCTTCGAGCAGCCTTTGCATGTTGATGAAGACGGCTGTTCACGAGCTTCCGTTGCTACTGAGACTCGAATGCTTCCAAGTGTCACTGGAATCAATGTTGGATGTTTGAGATTGGTGATTCTCTTGAATCTTCTTGCCAATCGCTCTTGGCAAAGGGTGCGGCAAGCTTGACGGGTTGAGTGCCTCTCAGCAGAGTGTCGTTGGCAGTGTGGAAGTATTGTGCACGCGAGTCGCAGGCAACACCTTCGTCTACTCGATCGGGCAACCTGAATGTATCAATGCTTGTTTGCCATCACGTGAACAGCTCTTCAATCCAGACTCAATGTAATAAGTCAGAACATGTCTTCGGATGGTACTAGTGCCCTGAATGTCCTCTTCAGGCCGGGTCCTTCGAAGTTATGCAGGGTTGGATGCTAGAGGCAACGGCTATGAACCCTTGACGGGAGACTTTTGATCAGGGATCGGGGTTATTCAGCGGCTTGTGGCGAACTGTTACCAACATTTAGCCACAAGCGCAAGTTGATTGATGGCATCCAAGATTATGAGCCAAGCATCGTTCCGCCTCAGGCACTGTGAAATCTGGCGTTGTTCCTCCAGGGCTGCATTGGTCGAAGCAGCAACGAGCTACGACTCCAAGGTCGCGTGCTGAAGCAGCTCCTGGGTTCAGGCTTCAGGGCTGTAGCTGAAAGTGGGACCGTGTTGGAACAGAATCTGAATAGTGCGGGGCCTTCGGAAGCTGTCGTGTTTCAGGTACTGGATGTTCGCTGCTCATTAAGAGCATTCTTTGTGTTGCCATCATGTCGGGCTTATGATCGATCGAGAAAACCAATGTACACAACCTCCGAATACGTGCAAATGTTTCAGAGTACGGACACGTAGTATTACTAGAAGCGAATTAGCAGATATGATGTTATGATGAGAAGAGAACAGGACAGAGACATGCATGTATGTTTGTATGCATGTGTATATGTATGTATGTATGTATGTATGTATGTATGTATGTATGTATGTATGTATGTATATACGTATGTACGTATGTACGTATGTATGTATGTATGTATGTATGTATGTATGTATAAGCATCTCGGCTTCAAAGCTGTGGAAAGCCTGGGGGCCTAATGGCCCGGGCTCAGCAGAAGGTGTCGCTCGTGGCGGCGGCGGGTTTGAGTTTGATTCTGATTTTAGCCTTGAAGGCGATCAATTCCGAGGGCTGCGAACAGTTCAGGGCTGTAGGACCGAAGCCATGGCTCTTCATGGAGTGCCGAAGCAGGGCTCCAACAAGAAGCCCCGTTTCTACATGGAAGCCACTCCCCTTGAAGACTTCGTGCAACGCACCCTCGAACAGCGCTTCTTTCTGTCGACCTGGCAAGCCCAGTGCATTGGCATTCAGCTGGCTTTGTAACAACGATGCTGCCGGCGATGGCGCCATGCATCTGCTTTTGTCATGTTTTCAGAAGGCTGGTGTCTTCTTCGGGATCCGGACAGGCTTTATGTCTTACATGCTGTCAGCGGCTTTGACTTGGAGTTTGGCAAGGCTATGTTGTGTGTGGTGTGTCTTCGACAAGATCCAGGGCTGGACACCATGGACTGAGACATTCCACCCCAGCTCCCACTACCTTCGGCCCCTTGCAGTTCTCCAGGCCTCCCTGCAGGACACCCACAGAGCACTCCGTGGGGCCTACAAGGTCCTCCGCGCCCGGCCGACAACTAGAGGCACCGACGCAGTCCAGGCCCTGGTCATGTGCGCCATCGGGACTCTTCTGATCTTCGCGGTCCTAGGGTTTCAATGGGGGCTGTTGTGGCAGTGCCGGGTGCGCTGCTCAGCTTGAGGGTGCAAACCACAACCCCAACCAACGGCAGAGACCTGGTCAGCCCTCTTTGGCTTGGTCGCCTTTGGCATGACCATAGGCACGCCTGGCACGCTTGGAACCAACAGACAGTCCTTTGCATGTGGAAGCTCTGTTATGGCATCTGCAGTTAGAAGTGACACTGTTGCCCACAACATCATCTTGATGTGTTGGTTCACTCAGCGACCCTCCATGGATAGAGTGAGCTGGTCGGGCCCTGGCATAAGCATGGAGTCAGCGCAGAGCCTCGACAGGGATGCCTCGGTCGAGTCCGGGAGGGAGGCGACACATGTGCCTAGGGCGGACTCACAGCCAAGGGGGCCACCCCCACCGCTCCCGATTCAAGCACTACAAGTACCATCGCAAACAGCCTCGGTAGCCCTCTGCGATGCTCTAGGACTGAGCTGCCCTGCAGTCACACACCTCCCCTGGAACTGGAACAAGCTGGATGCTGTGGCAATACGCAGAGGAGGCGCCATCCTCCGACAGAGGCAGCGGCACCAGCATGGAGAGAAGGACCTTGCCCCCGTCGATGTGCCCCACAGGAGGTGAAGACCGCATCCCGGTGTTTGAACAAGATGTACATTGTCGGATGGAGCGTTTCCAACTTGCAGCGGTAGTTTTGCATTTGGGCAATGACCCGACCCACGGCCACTATAGGGCACTTCTCTACAGTCGTGAGAATTGTGAGTATTGGATCACTGATGATGGTGTTAGCGCTGCCCCTCTTAATGCCTTGGGTGTTGATTCGTACAGTCGCGACACTTATTTGTTCATGTACACACACTGCAGTGCCTAGTGGCTGAAGCCCTGCTCCGGGGCATCCGTGCCGGGGGCTTGGGGTTCTCTCTCTGAGTAGTCTTCTTTGTAGATTGGGGGGAGGATGTGTTTGAACACAGCGTTGCCGGGTCGTAGACCTGTCCTCCGTTGCGGTAGCCGAGAGTGATCTCTGCAACGCGGAAAGTGCGAAAGTATGTATGTATGTATGTATGTATGATGGCTCTCTGGCTCTAGATTGTCTCTGGGGTGTTGCTTCCACCTCCTCTCGTGCAACATGGGCTAGTTTCTTCTGCTCTCTGCAACAAGGCGTGAACTGGGTCGCGGCGGATGGGCAGTTGGCCACCAAAACTGCCATGAATGACGTTGGAGATTTGCTTGGGCGACTCACCCGTCGCTACGGAGATGAGGCTGTGTGGCAGCTGAGCCCCATCAAGCCCTTTTAAGATTGCGCCAGCTGGGGTCCCAACTACCCAGGTGGAACATGCACTGTCCTCATTGTTCTTATCTTGCACATGCTGCGTACATGGGGCCAGGAAGTGCAAGCCGAGGGTTGCTGCCGGTGCCGCGACGGCACTTCGGGCTTGATCTGTACATTTCATGATACGACTCACTTGCCCGCTTTCTCTCATGCTCGCAGACATGATCACGCTCGTTGCTCGGTTATCAGGCGAAGGGTCTGAGCTCCTGCTTGCAGTGAGCTCCTCCTCGCAGTTGTTTTTTCTCACACTTGGTCTTGGTGCGTGGCCACAGCTAGTAAGGGCGAGAGCATTGTGCGTCGCCTGTTGCAGTTAGTACGCGCAAGAAAGTTGCAGCAAACTTGACCTTCGTGTTGTGGTTTTGGAAGACGACTCCTTGACGAGGTGCATTTTCTGATCAATGCCTGTGCAGATGAGGTGTTGCCCTTTGTCAGATGAGGTTTATCTTCTCGGCGCATGATGAGTACGGGAGACGCTGGTGTTACCACTCCCCGTGTTCTCTTTCAGCATCCTGTTCCATAGACATCATGCGAGCTTAGGCGTAGCTTGCAACTTTTGATCTTCGGGTAATGATGCCCACCTGCTAAGCAGTCCGCTGCGGGGTGGATGCCGACTTAAAATGTCCCGGCCAAACGCGCCTGTACCCTTTATCGTCATCGATGGTGCGTTTGCAAATTGCAAAAAGTGTATGTATGTATGTATGTATGTATGTATGTATGTAAGTGGGTGGGTAGGTAGGTAGGTTGGTTGGT